CATTTTTTATTTCAAACGCCAACCGGGAAAAAATTATCAAAAAAATCCTCTTTACATCAGAATAATAACGAATGTTTTCCACGAAACATGAAACCAGTTGGTTGACTGACACCGACGTAGTGCCAAATGCGACTCTAACGAGGGGTGACCGTGACATTTTGCCACTTTTTAGCCAAATTTTGGATTTAAAAGTGCAAATTTGTCCTGTCATGTATCGTGAAACCCCCCAGCCTGCGATAGGCAGTAAAACAGCGTTGGGGAATAGCAAGTAAATGCGGAAATCTCTGTTTAAAAATGTAAATTTTCTGACGTTTACTTGGTTTTAGGTGGCCATGCTGGAAAGCCAAATGCTACCAGGGCAATTTGATACGAACAGCCGGTTGACAAGTATGTAAACATTGCAATTTTGTTGTTTAATGTTAGTAATGAAACATTTTTTTGTCACATTGACACGCATAACGCTTCACTGAAACTGTGCTAACGTTGAGATTCGCATTGGGCCTTTTTTACCATGCAATGGCTTAGAAACGGCCAACAATCTACCGCCCCTTGTAATCCGGTTGTTTGACGCTTTTTATGGTTGTAATTGCAAACTTATATGGTCACATTGATTTAAGTGCACTCTTCTCAAAACGTCTTGTTACTCTCATGAGTCATTTTTAAAACAGTTTACAGTCAAGGCGATTGAGAGGGGGGGCACAGTTTGGCTAACCGAAACGTTCTGAGGCCTATTTTCCACCTTGATTCAAATATTTTACCCTCAAATTTGACTACAACCGTGATAAACCCGGTACTAGTGCTTCACTTTCAAGCATACAGTTGAGATATCGGTAACAGGCTAATATTTGCCTGGAAATTGATCTTGGAGTAGGCCAACTAACCTGACTTTTTCGATGTAGCAAGCCAGACGGTCATTGAGGTTTTGCAAATCAGCTTTTTCCTGCAACCTGGAGTGGCGGGTCGGGCTCAAGGGGCTCGATGGCCGCGGGGGCAACTGCACCGATGGCGTGGACGATTTTTTCGATCTCGTACTCATGATGTCTGAATGCGGGAAATGCGTGTAAACGATGGCACCGTAACGCGGTCAGTCACAAACACGTTGGCGGCACAAACTGATTGGAAATCGGTCGAGGACTCGCGTCGAGGTAACTAAACTATTTTCGGCGATGATATGGGAGCGGTACGTAATATTAACGGTTCTTCGTTGAAAACCACACAAATTGAGGCTAGGTGGGGCCCAAACACTGTGACATTGATGACAGGCCGCTGTTGACGATCCTGGTTATCATTTGGAGCATGTAGTTGTCTTTGTTTTTGCCGTGTTCCGGACAAGGCAGCCGCATGCGCGGTTTGACCAATCAGTCGGTAAAGGAGATTTCTGGTGGCGCGTCGCCCGAGTGTGGTTGTCATCTTTACAATTCGAATTCTGGCATTATTTTTTTTATAGAATTTGGATTTTCTTTAGCTCAAAGCAGTTTCCGAGTGAATACGCATATAAAGAGTGTTGCAGTTCAGAATAGACCAACAGCCGTCGATTAAAGATTTAAAAAAGTCCAGAAAGAGTTCAAACTACGGCAACATTTTCGGTTATTTGGGATCAGAAGGGTCTGGTGTGAGTATTTCTGAGCCCCTTGGGCTTCGCGCTATTAAAATGGTTAGTTTCACGGGTTTTTAGGCCGTCGTGGAAAACAATGTTTTATTGACCTTAATAAATTCTTTCCACCAGGGCCCAGAAGCGCGAAAGTCATCACTGTTTCGTCGCCAAATTCCACTTTTTGCGAGAAGATTGATTAGGAATGATTATTGACTGCAAAACTGACCACTACTCGTGTTTTCTTCAGTTGAAATTTGATTCACAAATCTTCACATTTAAGTCTTGAAGCGGCGGACGCAAAAATTATGAGCTAGTGAGTAGCTGCGTTCGAAAATATGGATTTGTTTCCAAATAGCAATCGATGCTTCGTGAGGAAAATTTTTTCCAGGAATAGAAAATGGTCGCAACATGCTTCGCCTATAAAACCCCATTTTCTTCAAGCAATTCGCATCAGAACGGTCATAAATGAGTGCTGCTGCGTTCCCAATTTTCTTTCCAACGCTTGTCTATGGTCGATGGGGCTTCATAATTTAAACAGCGTAAAAGTGATGTATATATATTTAAGTACACCTATATATACATGTACAAACCGTGTAAAAAGTATGGAAAATAGATACAAACGTTATACAGGGCGTCCAGAAACTACATCTCCTGGTAAATTTGAAACGAACACCATCCGAATAAAAATAGCGGAAATGTGGCAATCGAACTAATTAAAGTAAAAAACTATTTTTAACTTGGTGAACTCTTCAGAATTTTCCAGGAGAGTTACAGGTCAACGAATCATCACAAAACAGACTAAAACAATCGATTTTTACCGTAAAAACCCATATGAATAGTTAGATTTCTCCGAGACTCCAGTCTGCATTGACTGCATTAACGCCATCCTCAGTCTAACCGGATTATTCACCTTATATCTTCTAGTTAGTAGGTTTTTTAAATTTTCTGTTAATATTAATTCAAAAGGTAATAATTGAATCGCTCGTTTGGCTTAACTAGTGCGCACTAAACAATCATCAAAACAGTTAGTATTGAGAAACTCGAACACCGGTTTCCCTTCGTCCAAACAGGCAAAGAATTATGGATTTAAGTACAAACTTCGTCGCCTAAAACCTTTCATACTGCACGCACAAGCATTTACCCCTAATTGAAAATTGCTCTACCTAATATTAGAAAATCGCTTAAATAGGCCCTGTGTTCCAGTTAATCTAACATCCCGATTAGTAAATTTAACGTTGAAAAAAGGCAAACTTTGATATTGCTAGGGCAAGGCGGAAGTTTCATATCACTGGTCTTTGATGTACTTGATAAACTAGAGCTGGCTAATGGAAAAAATCACTTTGGTTTGCCCGTTATCTTATCACAGATTAGAAGTAGTCCGTTGAGGACTTTGAGTCTTCACTCGCCGTCCCTTTTCAGTTTTCTGATACCCGATCCAGCTCTAGTCGCGCTAGAACAGTTGTTCGCATTACACCACACCAAAACAGCAAAGTCCAAATGAAACTTTAATTATTCGCTAGTAAAACTCGTTGTCGCTGGAGTGATTCGAATCCAGGCCTTTAAGCTCCTTCAAACCAGGCAGGCTGGACATGGAGTCTTTAAGAGCCATTCGCATCGCGTTGGACTGATCTAGATTGGTGTTCGATGCTGCGGAAAAAAAAACAGCTGTACAAAACGGAAAGTTGTTTCAAAATGTGATACATCCTGCGCATTTCCTGCTACCGATCAGGGCTAGGATAGGGTGCAGGAGTTGGCCGCTTTCTTACCCTTCGTTGTTCGACCCTCCAGTGGAGCGGGTTGGGTTATTGCAATTTCACCAGGTTCGCTCGCAGATTTTGCTACCCCTAACTCAGTTGGGGGATTATCAAGGTCCCTACCATGGTCAGTGAGAGGTGAAAGTTGGCTCTCTTCATAGCCCCCTTCTGTTCTCTTAAAAAGCACGATGCTCTCCCCTGGCCAGCTGTCTCCAATAATCGAATCACAGTCAGACACTGATAACTCCCCAACGCTCTGGACCTGCTGCTTGTCCAGCAGCTCTGCAATGTTTGTCTCGATCAGCTGCAAAAACTCCGCTTCTTGGCCAGTTAGATGGGGGCGCAGCTCGTCACCGTCCAGTCTCTTCTCTTTACAGTCCCCCTCTTTCTCTGCCATTGGGGGCTCATCGGCCCGAATGGTTTTCGTCAAGATTTCCAGGAAAACCTTATCGAAGCCCTCAAAGGCTGATTCCTTCGGAACAACCGCAGCTCTTTGCTTCCTCTTTTTCCTCAGCTCCATCAGCTTCCTGCAGCTGAGGCACAGCCTCTGCAAGCGGCCGCAGTCCTTGCAAAGCGCATTGTAGCTCTTTCTCGGCCGCTTGGGCAGATGCAGCTCTTTGTCCGATCGGTGAAGCGTGCGCCCCTTGTCCTCCGGTTGTTTCGGTATGGCCCCCTTGCTCTCCACCGGTTGCATCTCTTTGATGTAAAAATCCCTGCTTCGGTCGACTTTGATGGTGCGTTTTGGCGACTTGGGCTTTTCAGGCACCAGGAAGGCCTGTTTCAGTTGGAACAGGTCGGGATCGGTGACAAGCACTAGATGCGTTTGCGTTTGAACCGATTGATTGGACTGATTAAGGCAGGCGAAAGGGAGTAGGGACAGGACGGGAGGGTCTAGAACGATAACAATGCGTCTAGTTCAGCTGGAATGGGCGCCGCCCCCCTGCTACCTACCGTTCGACTTGTTCGCCTTGTCCAGGCAATCGGGGAGCATTTGGAGAATGAGCGCCAAGCAATGGGCGACATTGTTGTTTGGGGCGCAGCTCAAAGCGGGCGTCAGCCCTTCGTTGTCGATGGCCAGGACGTTTGCGCCCTTTTTCAGCAGCTCCCGTGTTACGTCCACCAATCCGTTGCGCGCTGCTAGGTGCAGCGGACTGAAAATATCGAGAATTCGAGCAGAAACTCCAAAATATTTGCGCCGCCTTTGAACTGTAGCCCACTTACGTCTTTTTCTCATTATTGCTTACATCTACAATTTTGGCGTCTTGGCAACTCTCTAAGATGAGTAAGGCAGTCTGGTGGTGCTTCCTAAGGCACGCCCAGTGTAAGGCGGTGTTACCATCGTTATCACAGGCTGACAAGTCTATTTTACAGCTTAAAAGTAATTCTGCAAAAAAATGGATATTAACAGCGAACCAGTGTTGGGCCGCCAATGCCTTACCAACTACATTGGATTGTCCGTATTGTGCGGCAGCAATGAGGGGCGTGCGACCCTCGCTGTCCACTACAAGGGGTGCAGCCCCAAGGTTCAGCAGCATGCTGGCGCACTCAGCATGACCGTGCAATGCTGCGATATGCAACGGCGTCCGTTGCTTCTCGTCCCTTAGATGAATGATATGGTCGCCAAAGTGCTCAATCAAGTGCTCCAGACAGGACTGGGACCCGGAGAAGCTAAGTGAATAGCCATGGTTAGACACTTTAAAACTACTATCAGACTATGAAGGCTTTCACGGCCGGTTAAATCACATTTAGGAATGTTTTCCGGGCTTTGAAGCCGCGGTCTATGGGAATTTCTTCCTGACGTTTCGTCCACAACTGCGCTGGACATTATCAAAGGCGATGAGGCAGTGGGCGAAGTGATCTCCCGTGCTTTCCGACTAAGACGGAACTGTCT